TGGGGTTTTGCTATAAGAAGCTGATGATCAGAGCCACAATCAGCTCCAGCTCTTGTTTTTCCTGACTGCATAGAATTCTCCGTCTTTGGCTGCAGAGAACATAATCAATCTGATTTCGGTATTGCCCATCTGGTGATGACCATGTGTAGAGTCGACTCTTGTGTTGTTGGAAAAGAGTGTTTGTGATGACCAACAGCTTGCAAGTTAAGCCTCACTAAATGTGGTGGATCTTCTAAAGCATATATGCGGAGGTTTCTGCTGTAAATTCCATGTACAGTGGTGCCTACCAAGACGATTGCCTCACGGGGCAATTAATCTGCAAGATGATTAGTTTTTGTGATTGCTGTTGCACTTCACAAGATGGTTTTTCCTATGGATGATTTTCCCAAGACGATGTTTGGGTCTATGCTTCGCAAGACGATTTTTTTTGAGAGACGCTTTTTTGCAAGAATGTTTTTGACAGTTGGGTCCGCGACTCGCAAGACAATTTTTTAACTGACATTTTTTCGCAAGACAAATGTTTTTCTATGATATTTATAAAGTTTTTTATTTGACTTTGTTCTGACTTTTTTGCCCATAGGAACGCATTAATTAGATCTCAGTGCAATAGTTCCATAAATTCTCAATTCTGCACAACTATTAAAAGTAAAGACTTCTCTTTTCACTTAGCTGCTACCTTATTCAAAGCTAGGTAACAAAATTAGGCTGTTTGGTTTTGGACTTCAAATTTGCATCCAGTGAAAAAAAGGCAGGGACATATATATTATAGAATAAGTTGAAACTTCTGCTCAATTTTCTGTAAGAAGATCCCGGGTATTGGTTGATCTGTAATCAGAGTATAGGCAAATGTGTCTGATCATGAAGAAATGGGCCTAGGGACTTACTTTCTGGATAACATTTGCTCTAAATCAGTTTTGATAGCTGGCCTACCAAACAACACAAGCAATTAGAACAAAGACTAATGGCAGGATTACAAAACAATTATCCCAAACATTCAAAGACATAAGAAAGAGAGGTAAACTATTTTGTAATGCTTTTACTATCTTCATGCTAGTTAACCCTATCATAAAATGACAGCATCTAATGAAGCACTTAGACAATTTAAAGAGTTATTTATTGGAAGCAACTTCAAAGCAAATGTTGGCAGGAACTAATTTACAATAAAACAATTATAGAAATGGTAAAGAAAACTGATGCACTCACTGTCTTGAGAATAAGCATTCTATTAAAATTCGGATGTTTTCAGCATAAACTGCTGCTCTTGGTTTAAAACCTGTTGTTCATATATAACTGCAAAATTAAAAAATACACTATCTGGGAAATTTTAACAAGTGGTGAAGTAAAGTAAAGATGGAGACATATGGAACACACCAATAGCTTTATTAAATACAAGTTACCGGTTAAATGAAAATATTGACATACCCACAAAAGGGTATTTCCACCTTGCTTAGCACACTATATTCCAGATACATGGTGCCATCTGCTGGATGCTTCAGATTTGACAGTGTGTATTTCTTATGCAGGTGCAATGAGACCTACCTGTAATTCCTGCCATCTGCTTATATTGTTGTTAACTGCACTTCCATGCCTTTGCTCCAATGAACTCAAGGGGTTGCAAATGGCTTACTTTTTCCCACAAGCTTGGGAAGCAGATTAGAATGAGAAGATGTACTGGTCCATAGTCACCCTGTGTGCTTATAGCTAAGTAAGGATTTGAACCTTGGGTTCTTAAGCTCCAGTCCAACACTCTAATCATACACTATTGTTACTGCATCGAGATATTCTGCGATTAAACTTCATATATGGCACATCAAATTTTCCAATAAGTGTCATGCAACTGAAATTATCTTGTAAATACAGGAAGCTGCAATAGAGTGAACTAGACCAGTGGTTCTTAACGTGGGCGATAATGCCCCCCAGGGGGCGATTTCATTTTT